TTACAACAGTGATTCTCAGCCTTCTCCATACCGGGACCCCTGACGGGACCCTTTCCCATCTAGCCAAGCCCCTCGTTCCTGATTAGCAACAGGGAGCGATCAAGGTGGGACACGCCAGGCCCTTGTTTGGACCCTCTGGCATCATGACTCCTGGCTTGAGGCCCTCAGTGTAGGACCAAGCACTGATGTTCCAAAGTTCCGTCTCGAGGGGATGCCGGACAGGCAGAGTTCTGCTCCAAAAGGCTGAAAGTGAAAGACTCCGGAGAGCAGCAGCCGGCGTCTCTCCAATTCCAGGTTAGCCAGGAGCTTTGGCAGCTTTACGGTGGCAGAGGGAGCTCAATCGGACACGGAGCCCGTGCCAGTAAAGCTCCGCCAGTGAGTCTTCTGAGTTTATTACTGGCTCCCCCAGCACTTGACTGTTGTAAAGTGGCACTTTTCACCACGACTGCAATTTCCTTAATTCCACCCGTTCTGAGCTAGCCTGAAGGTTGCTAAAGCAGTGCTTTTGCCCTGCACGTGTACACAGGCACTGTGTAGTATCAGAGAGCTCTGCTGCAAGAGACCGATAGAAAACCTAAACATACCCCTGGGATCAGGGGCTGGCAAAACCCCTTTCTTTCTTTTATGCGTGTCAAGGTTTTATTTCAGTTCTGGGGGTTGGAACAGCTCCTATGTGGGGGGTTAATATTTGATTATTTTCTATCCTTGCAGATGCCAGTGTGCTCATACTTCCTGAAAGGGATCTGCAACAACAGTGACTGCCCCTACAGCCACGTCTACGTCTCCAGGAAAGCAGAAGTGTGCCAGGACTTCCTCAAAGGCTACTGCCCCCTGGGCGAAAAGGTAAATAGCTGGTGAGCTCTCAGGGCTTCTTTCTGGGTTGCAGGTGACGGCCGCGGTTGGTACGTGGCTGCCGAGGCCCAGCAGGAGGAAAGGGAAGCCGGTTGGTAACTCACAAGCTGTTTTTCATACTGGTTATGATGCCGAGGGGAGCAGTAGAGCTGAAAGCTGTGGAACACCTGGGCACGAAGAAACAGCAATTCTGTGTATTTCAAAAGAGTTATGGGCAAAATGGCTTTGTTTCCTTACACCCGGAGAAAAGAAGCAGAGGTGCTGCAGCAAGGTGCCATCAGCTTGTTCCCCTCTCAGATGCACTGGGGTGGGACTCTTCAGGGATCCATCCGGTTGTCTGAAAACTTCCAACACTTAGTGCCTGCTGTTGTCAGTTGCAAAGTAAAGGCCCAGCTGAGATTGGTGTCACGCTGTGTGGAGCGCTGTACATGTAGTAAGAGACATTCCCTCCCTGAAGAGCTGACAATTGAAAGTGGTGAAACAGACGAGGGGTAGGAGAAAGAGAGGGTTATTCCTTCCCTGTTACAGGTAGGGAGCCTAGGCCAAGAGGGTCTATGTGACTCGTCCACAGGAGGTCAGTGGCAGAGGTGAGAACTGAAGCAGGGTGTCTTTTCAGGTCTTCCTTCCTCCTTGCACACTCACTCTTGAGAGGTATCACAGAACGGGGGGGAATTTAGCTGCATGTCAAGCTGTCTGCATGTTTTGTCCTTCACTGGAGTATCCAGACGCCTCCCATGTCAATCAGATTGACACAGTGACTCCCTAGTGGGTGCCACAGGTGGCTGGACTGGCTGTGCAAAGCTGACATTTACGCTACTGGCCCACTCTGAGGCCTTCCACGCTCTCTGTGCTGCTTAAGTAGGATGCTACCCAGAGATCCAAGTCTGCTCAAGTTCTCTGCTCCGTAGAGCTGGCATGGGATCTGTTCTCCACTTGATGCTCTAGACAAGGCTGTGGAGATCCAGTTGCAAAGTCAACATAGTACTAATGCCTGGCTTTGGGGATGGTAGGTGAGCCGCTCCCAAAACCGGCTTAAAGGGCTGGACCAGAGGCGGTATGAGATAATGAGGTGCCCCATGGGGTCTCCAGGGGAGCTCTGGTCTTCAGATTCGTACCTGAGTAGCTCCTCCTCACCCAGACTGTGCTGCTCTTAGCACAGTCACCGGGCACTTTGGCTGCGTCTCAGCTTTATAGAGCTTTCTTTGTGGTGCGCATGTTCTACGGCACAAGGTGAGGAGGGCAGCCAGATTTCCCCTTCCCCATGTGCCAAGACACGTGGCTACTGTTTTTTTATCGTTCCATGATTCTGTTCATTCTGCTGCTGCTTGGGATAAAAGCACCAGTGATTTTCAGCGGGGTCTTGGCAATTACATGGCTCAGTTACACAAATCACTTTTTAAATCCGTGATCTTACTTTGGCCTCCACTTTGTGCTAGCAAATAACCGAGTCCAATTTTGCAGGTGCTTGCGAAGCGCCATCAATGACATCGTGTTTACTGTGTTAATTGCCGGCACAGATGCGGACACAAATACATTTAACGTATGTTATTTGCAAATGAATTTGCGCCTGCAAAATTGCACCACAGCTATTTACAGATGCAAAAATAGAAAGGAATTGAAGTCAGGTCTCTAGTATGAGAGTAACAGCGTAAAACTAATTATTGGTAAGCTCGTGCACAAATGCGTGTGATCTTCAGTCTTGACTAAAAGGTCTGAACACTGATACATTTTGATTAGTGGAAATAGAAATTAATAAGAGGAATCTGTAGAACCGGGGTCATCAACCCATCGATCGCGATTGGCTGGTCAATTGGGGAGGGGACGGGGGGCATGACCAGTTGATCATGAGGCGACCCAGCCTCCTCTTCCTTCCTTCCCATCTATCCCCTCCAAGAAAATGGAGGTGGCACCGGCTTCCTGCAGAGTGGGTGGAAGTCCCGCAGCTGTACGCTAGAGCCAGTGTCTCAGGAAGCACACGGGCTGCTCTTCCCCTTCCCTAAACAGCTGGCGTGTTTCCTGAAACTCTGGGTCGAGCGCGCTGCCGGGGACTTCCTTCCCCCTGCTGCCTGCCTGCGTGGGGGAGGGGCAGGAGAGGGGCGTAGGAGTCCCAGGACTGCTCCAGCTCCAACGGCTCAGGAAGCGTGCGCTGCCATGGGGAGTGGAGAGAGAACGTTTTCACAAGCTCCAGCCTTCTGTAGTGCTATAGGTGACCTTCTGAAGTACTCAACCCTTATGGCTTTTGAACGTGAGAGCTAGATGTGTAGGTAGTTGCTAGCGATCGCTCTCCTTTCGCTTGTTTAAGGTTCCTCTCTCTCAGCTCACATTAATTCTGTGCGCTTTGCTTCACCTTTCATTTCCCATTTCTTACAGTCTACGGATGTTAAATATCGGTTAATTGAATAGTTGATTAACCTCATAAATTCTTATCAGTTAGTCAACTATCTATAATTCGAGGGGGGGGGAGGGCGCTCCAGCTCCTCTCCCGGGGAGCCCCCTGCCACTCTGCGCTGCTGCCTCTCTATCGCTGTTTTGATGGACCTAACCTCCATAAATTTATCTTGTTTTTGGAACCCTGTTAAAATTCTGGTCTTCACACATCCTCTGGCAAGGAGTTCCACAGGTTGACACTGTGTTGGGTGAAGAAAAACTTCCTTTTGTTTGTTTTAAACCTGCTGCCTTTTAAAACAGGAAGTATACATTCTGCCAGATATGAACTTCAGGAAAATGCCACTTCTCCTAATTGGAGAACTTGGATACCATGTTTAAGCATGATAGGAACTTTGCAAACAGTTTTTTACACTGGCTCTTCAGCTCAAAAGCCAGCTATTAATCTCTGTATTTTAGGCTACTGCCAACAGCCGTAAGGACACCCAGTGCCAATGATACCTAGGAATATGCTCCTCTACCTGTTGCCATAAATCCACCCTCCCCCACCCGCTCTTAAAGAGATAGAGCCTTTTTGTGGTGGGACTCAGTGGTTTTTTTTTTTTTTTTTTTGAGCAAGGGGTTTTGGCGCAGAAAGCGGCAGTGTAACCGTTTTGCACAAAAACCCTCTCCAGGAGAGGCATAAGGATCTTGCGCAAAATGCGGGATTTGTGCAACAGGGAAGCGACTACACTGCTGCTTTTTAGAGTGCAGCTGTCTGTGTCCATCTGCGAGTCCGTTTGCTCAAGAACTCCTCCCGAATGGTAAGAGCTAGGACCACCAAATTAGGAAGGCAGCTTCCTCCTCTCCTAACCTAAAGCAAGGCCAGGGTTTGGTTGTGCCGGAACAACTGGAAGCCCTGGGGAAAAGGGCAGTTTTCCACAACATGCAAAGGGAGGGGCTGCTGTTCGAAGCGATGTGATATGAATGTGTCCACTGGGGGCAGCAAGCCTGCAGGGAGAGCTATGCTGCAGAATGTCTGCCAGACGGGACAGGAAAGGCCATATGGAACCTCCTGCCCTGAGCCCCTCCTCACCCTCTTGCACTCCCCCTCAACACAAACACATCCTCAAAGCCCTGCCCTGAGTTCTGCACCCCCCCACAGCACCAGGCCCCTGCCTTGAAGGACTGAGGAACACGAGGTAAGTCTGCCGGTGAAGTAATAATTTGTTGATATTGGGTCTGCCAATATCAACCATGCAAGAGGCTATTATGTTGTTGCATTTAATAGATCTGTGTGAATAAGTGTCTGTCCAGGCCCCAGTTTCCATACCTGTTGGTCTTAGAGCAGTGGTCCCCAACACTGTGCCCGCAGGTGCTCGGGGCCAAGTGCTCGGGGCCGATCCCATCCTGGGCGCGTGTCTCATCCGCAGTGCTGTTCCGGGCGCGCTGCGCATGCGCGGCACCGGCCCCGAGTGCACACTGCATGGGGAGCGCCGGCCCTGGGCGTGCAGCTCTGAGGCGCTAGCCCCGGGTACGCAGCAAATTGGCCACCCCGGCCCCGGGCGAACAGCTATGGGGGCTGCCAGCCCTGGGCATGCGGTGAATGGGCAGTGTCGGCCCCAGGCTTGCAGCAAATGGGTGGCCCCGCCCCCGGCCGCACGGCGCATGGGGTTGCTGGCCCCAGGCACACGGCTCATGGGGGACCCCGCCCCCAGGCGCCCAGTAGGCGAGTGGCCCCGCCCCCAGGTGCCCAGCAGCGCCAAATGGTTAGGGACCACTATCTTAGAGGGTTTTCTTCTTACTCCACTGGGGACTTAGCCATTGTTATTGGAGCAGGTCGGCTCAGAGAGGGGCCTGAGGAGCCCCGTGTCATGTTTCCTACCCTTTGGTGAAGGTTACAAGTCTTGCTGACAAGGCTGCAATCCAGACGTGCGCTGCTGTGCTCCGAGATGGTTGTTTCTGCACCAGTGGAGGTCAGAGGCTCCAGTAGATTTACCCCAGGGCAGAGCTCCTTAACTGGAGCCGTGGGCTTTTCCCGTGAGAGTGGGCCGAGGTCCCTGGTAGTTGCGGGAGTAGCGAGGCAGGGTTGAAGCAACAGGTCCTCAGAAACTGCGGCGTTGGGAGAGAGCCATCGGAGAGCCTACCTGGCCATCGGTGTCACCGTTAATGGAGCAGGCATGTGCACGGTCACAGCCCATGTGGCTGAGTGACTGTAATACAAGAGTGCGCCTGATGGACTTGCTAAGCAGCACAAAATACACAGCCAGCACAGGAGAGACAGCTGCAAAGCAGAAACAGCAAAAGGGAAGAGCTTGTAAGGTGAGTGGAATATGAGCAGCAGAGGAGAAAAGTGCAGAATATGGGCAGCAGAGTCGAAAAATGCTAATAAATTAACCTTTTGCCTAATTACGTGACAGGGTCGCGCAGGGAAGGGACTGAGTGCAGCGTAAACAGCCCCTCCGAAATGAAATAAAGTATCTGGCAATCTCCCTCCAAGTGCAGGCACTGTGTGTACAATTATTTTAAAATATTCCAATTTAAATGAAAATATAAAAGAGATGTTTAGAATATTTATTCTATTAGCAAAAGTGCTTACGGCGTCCCTTTTGGAGTGTCAGAAAAGC